GTCACGGGGGTCGTCGCTTCGTGAGCCAATTCCTTCTTTCCCCTTCCTTATCAACAACATATATTGGCTCACCCCGCTAGTAACACTCCGCCGTGCACGCCCGGTAGCGGCAATCGGGTGTCTGCACCTGCTTGTGCCAAAAGACAACCCAATGCGCGCCCCGGAAGCCCGTACATGCGCGGTGTTCCTTGCATCCGCCATGCACGCCCGGTAGCTACGCCCGTCTGTCTCCACATAACTTGTGGCAAAAGACAACACGAGGCGTAGCCCCGGAAGCCCGTGCACACACGATGTTTGCTGCTATGCACGCCCGGTAGCTACGCCCCGTCTGTCTCCACATAACTTGTGGCAAACGACAGCACGAGGTGCAGCCCCGGATGCCCGTACACACAGGATATTTGCTGCTATGCACGCCCGGTAGCTACGCCCGTTTGTCTCCACATAACTTGTGGCAAAAGACAGCACGAGGTGCAGCCCCGGATGCCCGTACACACAGGATATTTGCTGCTATGTACGCCCGGTAGCAACGCCCCGTCTGTCTCCACATAACTTGTGGCAAAAGACAGCACGAGGTGCAGCCCCGGATGCCCGTACACACAGGATATTTGCTGCTATGCACGCCCGGTAGCTACGCCCCGTCTGTCTCCACATAACTTGTGGCAAAAGACAACACGAGGCGCAGCCCCGGACGCCCGTACACGCATACGCTCTATTTGAATAACAACGATTAATAGAGTCGAACAATGCCCACAAAAATGCAAATATCAAAACCAGGTGCCTGGACAGACACCGACATACAAAAGCTGTTACGACTATGTCGTCCAATTTACATGTCAATACAAACGGAACGCGGCCTGAAAAACTTCCCTCACTATGAAAAGAAGAACAAACAGCCGAAAACTCCTACCAATAAATGACACAAAGCGATAAACCACATGCAAGCAAGACAATGATCTCATTCTCGGTCGCGCTTGTCTACCAGAGAAGTCGGCGTGCCTTCCATGCCCGGGTTGGGGGAGGTGGGAAGCTGGTTGTCGATCCTTGTCCTGATGAGCCTTGAGCAGCTGCCGGGGGAAGCATTGAGTATGGTGGCCTGTACAAAAACATAAACTGCCGTCAAAATTCGATTCAGCCGCACAAAATTGGACCTCATTCCCCCAACCCGGGCGAGTCCCCTCCATGCGGAAAGAACGACTCCTAACATGGGACGCAATGCACGGAGACTCAACCCGAGCTGTTCCTCCCGCTATTACATTAAGTGTTACTCCCCTACATGTGTCACCACCCAACAAACATAAAAAG